CAAAGAACAAATAATCCAATCAAGAAATGGGCAGAAGACATGAACAGACATTTTTCCAAAGAAGACATCCAAATGGCCAGCAGACACATGAAAAAAATGCTCAACATCACTCAGCATCAGGAAATACAAAACAAAACCTCAGTGAGATACCACCTCACACCAGTCAGAATGGCTAAAATTAACGTCAGGAAACGACAGATTTTGGCGAGAATGTGGAGAAAGGGGAACCCTCCTACACTGTTGGTGGGAATGCAAGCTAGTGCAGCCACTCTGGAAAACAGTATGGAGGTTCCTCAAAAGTTGAAAATAGAACTACCCTACAACCCAGCAATTGCACTACTGGGTATTTACCCGAAAGATACAAATGTAGTGATCCAAAGGGGCACATGCACCCCAATGTTTATAGCAGCAATGTCCACAATAGCCAAACTATGGAAAGAGCCAAGATGTCCATCGACAGATGAATGGATAAAGAAGATGTGGTGTGTGTGTATATATATATACACACACACACACACACACACACACACACACACACACAATGGAATATTATGCAGCCATCAAAAAATGAAACTTTACCATTTGCAATGACATGGATGGAACTAGAGGGTATTATGCTAAGCGAAATACGTCAATCAGAGAAAGACAAGTATCAGATGATCTCACTGATATGAGGAATTTGAGAAACAATGCAGAGGATCATACGGGAAGGGAGGGAAAAATGAAACAAGATGAAACCAGAGAGGGAGACCAACCATAAGAGACTCTTAATCTCAGGAAACAAACTGAGGGTTGCTGGAGTGGAGGGGGGTGGGAAGAATGGGGTGACTGGATATTGGGGAGGGTATGTACTATGGTGAGCACTGTGAATTGTGTAAGACTGATGAATCACAGACCTGTACCCATGAAACAAATAATACATTGTATGTTAATAAAAAAAATTTTTAAAAAAAAGAAATGAAGTGTTCTTATTTGTAATACTCAGATTCTGAAGTGATGAAATAAAGTTCTTTCTCTACATCAGGGAGTTTCATAATGTTGCTGAAGAAATCCAGAAACCAGAAAACTAGGTATGTTTAATTATAAGCTCTCTCAGAGTATTTTGATAAAAAAAGATCTGTGTGGCAATGACTGTAGGGGACAAATAGCAGGTGTGAAATAACCACATTTCACCACTGCAGCAAAAGGTATCAAACAGAAGCCCAATTTGCAAACCAGAGGCCATACAGCAAAGGGCTATTGATCTTTCACATGGAAATACCCATTACCTTTGAACAGGAAAGGAAACTGCTGGTTTCTTAAGTTTGTACAAGGTTGCATTATTTTATCAGACAATCTCTAGAATTGGGGATAACCTATATTTTTTTCTGATTTATCTTCCAGGAATCAATATATTAATTAAATGAATGGACAAATAAATGGAAGTACACATACACACATGCTCGCACGTGCGCACTCACACACACAACTTCCCCAAGCATATGCAAATATATCATCTAACTTAGGATTTACTGCCAGCCTTTTAGTAAAAACCAGAAACATTTCTTTAATTCCTTTTACAATTCTAAGTAAGTCTTATTTATTAATTCCTTTTTAATACCACGTATTCCATACAACAGGAATAGGTGAAGCAGACAACCTCTAAGACTGAGAGAGTTTTACTCAGAATCAGGTCTGTTTCAATCTGGAGGTGATAACCAATTCTCTTTGGGGGGCACTAGGAACAGGGAGGAAAGCGGAGGGGCTCGGAATTGGAGCCACACCCCCTCGTGAATCAGGGGGTTGAGAATGTCTCTTCATTAATTTGACATGTAGCAAACCCTTGCAAACACTACATATTTAGAGTGTGATTTACAAAGAGGTAGCAGTCACTTAATCTCGTAATTACTGTACCATGGAAAAACTGAAGAAAATATGAATCCAAATTAGGGAAACATGAATTACAGAGAGATGCCATATAGCACTGAGGTTATAAGGTCAGACTGCCTGGCATAAAGAACAGCCTGGCCACCTACTAGACACATCACCTTGGGCAAGTTAATTTAACTGTTCTGTCCTCAGTTTCCTCAGTATGAAATAAAATCAAATGATTGTACCTTTCTATGATGATTTTAAAACATGGCCCCAAATTCTTTGATCCCGCTCCAATAGAAAAGACTTTATCTCCTTCCCTTGAATATATCCTCTGTGCTCTGCCTGACCAAGAGAATAGGTTGGAGTGTTGCTTTGTCAGTTTCTAAGCCCCAGGCCCTAAGAAACTGACAGCTTCTACTTCCTGTCTCTTGGGGCACTTGCTTTTGGAATGCAGTCACCATGCTGTGAGGAAGCCCAAGCTTCCCCAAGGAAAGAAACCAGTTAACAGTCATCAACTTGCCAACTATGTAAATGAGCGATCCTAGAAGTAGATTCTGTAGTCCCAGCTAATGCCGCACGGAGCAAACATGAGCTGTTTCTGATGAACCCTGCCCGAGTTGGAGATTCCTAAGCAAAATGAGTTGATTTGTTATACACCAATAATAACTAGAAGAGTACCTCATGGAATCATTGTGAGGATTAAATATACTAATATGTAAAGCCCTTAGAAGAATGTTTAGGAAGAGATAAGCAATGTAAAAGTGTTTAGTCACCATCTTGGTAGAACTGTACTATCCAGTACAGTAGCCACTAGCCACAAGTAGCTATTCAAATTTAAGTCAACTAAAATGAGATAAAATTAAGAATTCAGTTTCTCAGTTGCATTAATCACATTTCAAGCATTCATCAGTCACATGTAGCTAACTGCTACCATATTGGACAAGTCAGAAAAAGAACATTTTCATCAGTCCCAAAAGTTCTAACAGACAGCCCTGTTATAGACTACAAAGAACTGCTGTAAGGCAGTTGACTGGAGAATCTACCATGACCTACCATAGGAATTCAATAAAAATAACTTTGAAATCACAAAGCAACTATTCACAAATAATGCCTTAAAACATTTGTCAACTTAGGTAAATTTA